GACACAAGCAGTTTAACGTGGAAAAACCCCCTCAATGTGAGGAGTAAAAACCACTGATCGAAGTCAAAATCTCCACTATAATCAATAATGGGTTACACCAAGTTCTCCCTAGCAATAACTAGAGGCATACAATAATAATATCTCGAGACAATAAATCTCGGCAAATAAGGAAATAAACTGGAGAAGAAAATTAGAAAGATCTCATTTGAAAATGGCACCAACTACCCACTGTATCTGACTGTAGGCAGCTCCAAAAGAAATCTTCATCGTCCAGATTGAAGACCCTTGTGTTGTGAACACGCTGTCAAAATTTCACCTCGGTCGAAGCACGGATCGACCTCCGATCGTGAAAAAAATGCTACTATACGGATTCTTTTTCTTTTCAAATTCTTTTCTAATTTTCTCTCCTCGATTTATGTGCTGCTCCCTTTTTCCTTCTCTCTCTTGATATGTGGTAGGCAGCTACATCTCCCATTTTAAACAAAGCATTTTAAAAACCTAAAACATAAAGGTTAATGGGCAATGTGGGCCTTAAAAATGTTGGGCTTTCACAGAATGTGAAAAATACCCAACAAAACTAATATCAATGCTACAAAAAATTGTAGCATTCAGCGACGAAACATGCGACAAAAATATGGTTCGTCGCAAAACATGCGACAAAAATAAGTTCTGTCACATATATCAACGACGAAATCCAGTTTTGTTGCATGCGTTAAACGGGCTGGAACTTTACAAAATCATGTCGTTGTGTCTTGCAATGAAATTGATTCTCGTCACTAGGCCTATAAAATCTCCCAGCACTAATTCTTCTCCATTTTCCCTCTCATTTTCAATTCTCACCCTTCCCTCTGCGTTTTCTGCTCTCTTGTTAGGCCATTAAACATTACGTTGGAATACTGACCGTTTTTGTATTTTTCTTGCCGGAAGTTGCTCGGGGCTTGAGTATATTGGTAAGTTTATTCCTTTTAAAACTTCTTTTAATTTGTTTTGTGCTCACCTCTCATATTTTTGCGTAGATTTCTTTGTTTATGGTTGCTCGAGTTTGCTCAAATCTCAGTTTTGTGCTTGTGCTTGCTTGGCTTTGAGTATATAGGTAAGATTCTTCTTTTTAAAACTTTATTTTCTTTCCCGCTTAAATTTGACATTTTTGTGTAGATTTCTTTGTTTGTGGTTGCTTGGATTTGCTTAAATCTTAGTCTCGTGCTCGTGATTGCTCAGGTTTGCTCTCTTTCTTTTTAAAATTAGTTGAGGCAATGTAAAAAATTGATGACAGTTGTTTTCATATTTTTGTGGATTTTATACCCATTTTATGTGCTATATGAATATGATCTTGAAACCAATAGGTAGAATACCATCTTTATGAACTTTTTGTGCTTTATTCTTCTATTGCATAGTTTGGGAATTAGTTTTTTTTTTCAACAAAAAATTTAGCATTGATTCTTATAAGTCGATATTGATGAATAATCTGATATGGTATATTATAATGTTTATAATTTATGCTCTTGACTAATCCTAAATTTTTTTTTGTTATTTTTTCTTGTTTCCATTTTTGTAGGATAGTGTGAAGGGGATGAGACGATTGCTGAACGACACAATTGAGAAAACAAAATTACTTACCAATAATATTTTCCTCTTTCACAGTTTTTCGGTGGAAAACACAATCAACCACAAAAATATAAGAGATATAGGGAAAGCACAGAAATGACACAAAGAATTTATATTGGTTCACTCCAACTATGGGCTACGTTCAGTCTTCCGCGACAACGGGTTCTACTATAATTTTTGGATAATACAATAGGTCACACAAAATGCTCTATAAATGTCTCTCTAGATGCCAGAACAATGACTACCTAGCTTCTAAGCACTACGACAATAGCTACTTAGGAATACACAATGAAAAACTTCCCTAACCTGACGAGAATGGGCTATCGACAATACTCTACAAACTAACGTTCTTTTTTTTCTTCTCTCTGCCAAATAACAACATTGCTGCCATCACTTCTTTTGTTTTGCAACTTCTCTTCGAAAGCCTAAAAAAATCTAAAACACACCATATATATTTGGGATTAGTATATAGATAGTCTATTTAGAAATCATAATTACGTAAAAGGATTGAAAAGTATAGAATTTACACTTTTGTCATGAAACAACCCTAATTAGATGGTACCCATCACACAAATTACTAGCATATCTTTTTAAGGATCCATCTCAATATTAAATAATTATTAAAATCTAGAATTGGTAAATTGAGAGGTCAAATCCCTTAAAATCTAATGATACTCTCCAAAATAAAAAAATCCCAAAACCCCAAAAAATCATCCTTTTTCAAAACTCACCCCTTTCTTCTTCCTTCGACCGTCTGTTTTTCTTTTCTTCCTCCGACCGTCCATTTTTCTTCCTTCGACCCTCCGTTCTTCTTTTCCGACCGTCCATCGCTGTCTGCCTTCCTCTCTGGCCGGCTTCTTTTTTCCTTGTCGCAAGGGCATTTCGTCTGCGTTTATCCCCTTCGAAAGGAGATTTCCGTCGGTTATTCTTCTCTGGTCGTTTCTGCCTGCCTTCGTCTCCGACCGACGTATGCATGCCTTCATCTCCGGCCACCTCCATTTTTCCCAGTCGCTAGAGCAGTTCATCTCCCGATTGAAAGGAATGTATTCCAATGGTTGTTTTCAATTTCTGATTTCATGTAAAATATTACATATACGAGGATATATATTATAGTGATTTGATTAGGATATATCTTATAACTCAACTTGTATATATGCAGATATGCGGATATATACTATAGTGATTTTGAATGTATATATACGGATATATAAGTGGATATATCTTATAACTCAACTTGTATTATGCGGATATGCGGATATATACTATAGTGATTTTGAATGTATATATGCGGATATATTAGTGGATATATACTATGATTTTGAATATATTTTTTGAATATGCGGATATATGTTTATTGAGACTTCAAAAGATGTTTCGGTGATTTTGAATTGTCTTTGAAGATTGAGCACCAATGTTGAACTGATTTAAGGGAAAATCAATCTTTTTGAAAGGGTAAATTAAGGGTTTGAAGGAGTGAATTAAGGGATTTGTGTTGAAAATTAGTACGTGGCCCACAATAATTAAAGGATTATGATAATAGTTTATGGAATTAAATCTTTTATACTAAAAAAAACAAATAACTATAATAAATGTAAATGCAATAAATAAGGGTAAAATTGGAATTAAAATAAAATCCTACATGCAGAAATCTAAAAGTGTAAAATTAGAAAAATTTAGACATTTGTGTAAATAAGTTTCTAAAACGGCCCTCCGAAGACATTATCTCTATATGTTTTGTGTGTGGCGGCAATCTTAGTGAATCAAGAAAATAAATTAGGTTTGGGCTTTTAGGTTTTTTCTTGGCCCAATAAACTTGTTTTTGACTCCACAATTTCCTAACAATCTCCCACTTGTAAACAAAACGATAATCTTGCCTTCCATTGCAACAACAGTGTCCCTCATGACTCTAATATTTCTCCTCGATGTACTGATCTTTTGCCTATGTGACTTTGTCAGCTCGTTAATCCGTCTGACAACTGGGGCTTAAATGATCATGCAATTCTTAATGGATGTTCAAATAAAAAGTGATTTTCCTTCTCCTCGTAAACTTGGGAAGCAGCTTCGCTCCTTTATTGAAGCAACGATGGTGACAACATATTTTGAAAGCTATGTTAGAATAGATAAGTTTTTCTACAACATAATGTTATGGATCTGGTATTGTTGGAATATAATTTTCTACAACATAACTTGTAAAGTGATTAAAAAGATTTATTTGAGACCCGTCATTAAAAAGTTGTAAGATATAAAAATAAAATAAATGAATAAATAACTAAATAACTCTGGAGAAATACCAAAGTTAATATATATAAAAAAGAAATGAAACTAACGTAAATAATGAAAATGGACACAACACTAATGGGTTAGGTGCAAATATCCTTATTATTTGTTTTTTTTTTTAAATACAAACATGTGGGGTGAGAATTCAAACTCACGACATTTTGATCCGAAATAGATGTCTATCTTGTTATTACTACTACTTTAAACAAAATATAGAAAAAAGCGAGTACTTATGCTAAATAGATGTTTGTATACAACGTATATATTAATGATATAAAAGATATGTGGGACTTGAAAACTTGGTAACATAAATATAGCTTGATCAATGTGAAACAATTAGCCATCCTCAAAACATAGGTAAACCACTCTATTGTTGTGTTAAGCAACTCTTGTTCAAGATGAACCTGGTAAATAATCGTGTGGTACTCCATTAGTTAGAAGTGTAATGCCACTACTACAAATATAGAATTGATTAACAGTTATGAAAAGTAAAAAAAGGTCGGAAAAAAAAAACAACCATCATAAATTGACCAGCTGCGATTTTGACAAGGAAAATAGCTATTTTTTGGATTTTTTTTTTATAAATTTATGGCATTTAAAAACTCTCGCCTATAGTTCACAAAAAAACCTTGATTCAACTATCATTAATTTTTTATTTACAAAATTTCAAGCCCATCTTACTGGGTCGGGGCTCGAACTTTTTTGTCTTGTTTCGAATCGTAATAGAAATTTTTTTCAATTTATATATATATAGTCTAATTGTTACGGATAATTTTAAAGTTTGTTTCTTTAATTTATACAATATTATTTCATATAAATAATAATTTTTAAAAGAAGTCCACAATTTAGAGAATAATTATTACTTTTTCCCTCTACATCGGCAACGGCCGCCAGTTAATTATTAGGTCTCGTTCGTGCCAGAATGAAGGTTGGACCAAGTTTTCTTGGAGTTGGACTCATATGTCAAACGACGGGAAAAATAAAGCCGGCCGGTGGTTTCTTTATTTCCTTTGATTGAGACCATAAACGAATTCATTAATGGGACAGTGACATACGATATTTTTCTTTAATTGAAAACAAAGTCCAAAAAAGCCTCAGAAAACCCAAAAATTTGTAAACCATCCAAGCCATATCCTGTAAGCTTTCAGACCTGTGAACCTTGTAGAACTATCTTCAACACAGCTGCAAAATCTCGATGGCCACTCCAATCGAAACCTCCCGACGAGGCGCGGCTGCTTCTCGGAAGGTGTTGATCACTGGCGTGAGCAAAGGGTTAGGACGAGCTTTAGCGTTGGAGTTGGCTAGCCGTGGCCACACCATAATCGGCTGCTCACGCGATCAGACTAAACTTGATTCCCTTCATGCCGAACTTTCCAAATCGTCGTCAAACGAGCATCTCCTCTTTAACGCCGATGTGGTCAGTCAGTGATTTTCTCCCTAACGAATTCAAAGAAACGTTATTAAAAATGTTGGGATTTTGCAGAGATCAAACAATAAGGTCAAAGAATTCGCACATGCTGTTGAGGAAAAGAAACTCACTCCCGATATCATTGGTATTTTGGTTCTTTTTTCTTTAGTCTCGTATATCAATATTTAGGAGCTCCATCTGAAAATTAATTTGTAATGAAATAAGTAGTTCATGAACATTTATATTATAAATATTTTCAAAGTGGGATTGTTAACCTCTTATTTTGGATAAATAATTGAAAAGCTAAAGATATTCATGTGTGGACTTTATGGCAGTGAATAATGCAGGTTTGGCTCATAAAAGTGGTAAGATATGGGAGCTTGACGTAGAAGATTTCGATAAGGTGATTGATACCAATGTTAAAGGGATTGGAAATATTTTGCGCCATTTCATTCCACTTATGCTTCCTAACAACCAAGGAATTATCGTCAACATGTCTTCAGGAGCTGGAAGAAATGCACACGAAGATGTACGTGCATGTATATTACTATAAAATCAAATTTTAATTAATTTTTTTCTTTTATTTCAAGTCTCTAATAGTTTTCATGCTGCTTTAGAATTAGAGGCAGATCTAAAAAAAAAAAAAAAAAGAATTAGTTATAAGTATTCTCAATCTTGGACAGGGATATTTTTGCTATATAAGTATTGGATTCCCATATTTTAAATGGTAAAGATTGAAAATCCGTTGTTAAATAGATTCTAATTTTTTTATTTAATTTTTTTACTTCCAAATAGATTAATTTGTTTTTTTGTTGAATTAGAAAATCATATAACCATGTTTTATGTCTATAGCTCAAGTTATGTCAAAGGGAAAGTTGTGCTTGTAGAAAGCAATTGGAGATAAAAGGATTTTTTGAAATTTTGTAAATACCCCAATTTATTAATTCTTCTCCACAAATAATGCCTACTCAATCCCTTTCATAAAGTATTATTATATTAATTACATAGGAAACTCCAAAGTTATTGTCTTTTTTATTGTATATTTTTATGTTGCAGTTCGCACCCTATTGTACATCGAAATGGGCAGTTGAAGGATTAAGCAAATGTATTGCAAAGGGGCTGCCTGAGGGAATGGCAACTGTGGCGTTAAATCCTGGCACCATATACACAGACATGCTCGCTTTATGCATGGGTGAATTAGCATCACAATTTCAATCTCCTGACAAATGGTATGGAATAATATCATTATTAATTTTCTTTCTTCATCACTGCAATGTCATATATAAAGAGCCAAAAAGGACATTATTAGGTTGAGAATTGGCAAACATTAAAGAAGATAACTAACTAAACAGGATAAAATACACTTTAGATAAATTTCTATTTAGTTTTTAAGTTTCAAAAAGTTACACTTTGATCCCGAAATACGGAATGCTAACGTCACAATTGATGTGTTGGATATTTTTTCCTTTTCTATCTCTTTTCATTCTGTTAACATTCCGTTAATTTTTCATCCCCTCTTCTCTCCCACTCTCTCTATCTTCCCTCTTCATCCTCCATCTGGTTCTCTCTTCCTCTTTCTATAAAATGCTTCCAATAATTACTTTCTTCCGCTCCATCTCTGAGCTTTTCTCCCTAGAAAATGCTTCCAATAATTACGGAGTCCCTGTTAATCTAGAAGCCCCGACGCTTTAACCAATTTTCCCATACCTCCCAGTCCTATTAATGGGATCGAATCTCGCAACGGGAGCGCGTGAATGTTCGATTATGTTTTAGGAAGAACTAGAAAGAAAAACAAATAAGCTACAAAAGGAAAGATACACTACCCTTAACGACCGTTATTCAACACTTGCACCAGTGCTACCAAAAAGTCTTCCCCGCTATTCCATTGGCAATGACTGGTTTGTGGGAACCGTCATTTGAAAGTGAGGGAATTTGGTTTTCGTGAGAGAGCTAATTGAGACATTGTTCAACCTTTGAACAAAATCCACTACTCGTGTTTTATAGAGAGGTTTCTCCCCACTCACCAACTTCTCACTTCGTTGCATTGCAATGAAGAGAGTTATTTAATTAAATTAAGTAATTAATCAATTATTAAACTAATTAATTAATAATAATTAAATATCATATATTCAATTCAAGCTATATTTGAATCATATTCAAATGTATATCTTTCTCATTAAAATTTTATTCACACTAATTTTAATCTGAATCAAATTTATATTAATCATTATGTGAATCTTATTCAAATATAGCTCTCATATTATATTGATTAATTATGAACGTCATTCAGAATTAATTTTATATTATAATTTTATATTATAATGTATCTATATATATTATATTAATTGTATCACATACAATTAACCTACACCCCCTTAAAAAAGATGAATCCCTCAAATTCATTCACAAGACTTGAACATTGTTTTACCCGTTGTGAGCTAGCAGGGGACCTATTGGGTCTACATATGTGAAGCTTCAACGATACGAGATTAAATGATTCAACTCATTAACCAAAATAACCAACATTCATTAACCGTTGGACACTCGACTAAAACCCACAACTGCACTCTTCACACTGCAAAATATTTTGCATCCGTGGATATTGACCATTAACGGTACGTCAATTCTTCACGAGTGTTCATAACTTCAAATGGGTCAAATTATTGTTTTACCTCTGAGTTAGCTCTTTCTCCTTAAGTACCACTGATCCTCTAATGAACAAAATATTTATGATCCAAACATTAAACAAAAGTCTCTCTTGGGTCAATGAGAGGGTAGGGCCCCTTGTTCAAATCCTGGAGTTCACACTTAAGGGAACACTCATCTACCTTTCAAGTCGGGAATGAGTGAATTCCATCTTGTGTAGTACTTATGCTACCAACTCCCCACTCGGCCTCACCCCAAAATAGTAGAAACATTGAGCCGGCGATCCTGGCACTCTCACCATTATAGATCAAAGGACGATCCTTTATAGGCAGGAGTCCATAACTCACTCAGGATTGAGATTGAGCTACCTAGTCTTCTTATGAAATAATAATCTATTAGTTAACAGTGTTACAACTAAAGATTAATTATTTCGCGGTCCAGTCTTATCCAAACTCATTGCATAGGATACCCCCACTCGCATGTCTCCATATGAACGATTTGGATCACTTATATATTGTATATCAGTTATATATTGTTCCAATTACATGACATAACATCGGATGTTAGTTTATTGGATTTTGGTTAATGCAATTCTGAAGGAAACTTCAATAACATCTTTATTGATTAAATATTTGTTTTACATTTATAAACCACAAGTTTAAGGTGTAAAACCCAACACCCAGACCTCCGGAATTTCCCATTCCATCGCCAAAAATCTAAAAGTTGGAAATCCAAACGACGACGATAGAATATGGATCTCTGACTTGTCGTTATTGCGACGCAGAGCGGCCGACGTCATCGCCTGAAGGATGTCTTTCGAGAGAAAGAGGTTTAGCCATATTTTATCTTAAATTATCCAATTATTTTATTGGTCCAATGTCCCATATTTTGTTAATTCACATTTTGCTATAAAACATAAATTAACAATTATGAGGGGATTCATAAAAGGTCACTGCAAGGATGGGTTTGAACGTCGAGGGTTGATTTTTCGTAGGCTCTCACCGTCACGCTCTACATCACCGTCCGAGTTGCACGCCACTGGAGTGTGATGCAATATGGGAGGAGGTAGATGGTGATGACTAATTTTTAGAGAGAGAAAGAGTCGAAGAATAAAAGGAGTTAGGATAAAAGGTAAATGAAGAGAGATTGTGTTATTGGGTGAAAAAGAGGAGGTTTGTACTAATAGCAATTTTAGAAACGAAAGTTTCAACATTTTCTTTTCCCACTTTGTCCTTCATGTAGGAACCCCTCTTCATACAAGGTCCTAAAGAATCCATTTATATTTTACATCTTTAACTCAATATCTCCTTTTACAATATCTCCTTTTAAATCAAAAATCAAATTGAAATTATATTTTAAAATTCTGCAATCCTTAGGTGAAAATCTAAAAAGAGAATCAATTTGAAAAACCTTAATCGAAAAATCAACTTGAATTTCAAACTTCAAATCTCATATTTTTTCATATTTTTTTTTTCTAATTTTAATACTGTTTTCGGTGTATTTCAAATATTTTAATCACACAAGGTTAACCGAAAATCAAATTGAAATTCAAATTTCAAATCCCATGATTATAGAATTCAATTGTAGACATTGAAATATTTGAAGGACATAACAAATTAAATAAATATCATCCAATTATTGAGAATGTTTTAAATCTTAAGGTTTTTCTTTGTTTTTGTTTTTGTTTTTTTTTGCTTTTTCCAAATGTTGCTATGATTTATACAAAATATTTATCTACCGAGATTAATAAGCTTTTGGGAGTATAATATCACGAATACAAAAATGAGAATTTGAACCTATCAAAGGAAGTAGAGAATTTAATGAAGTTTGGAGTCTACAAATAATATGGCAAATATATTTATATTTTTAATTAAAGTACTTTATTTATTTTCTAGGAAGCAATTCACTTGAGTTATGAAATTGACCTGAATATAAGGCTCGCTTTTGTTAGAAGAGGAGAAAATCTATTATATAAAAGTAAATAACAATATCAATATGCATATGACATATTGTTGTGTGAAACTAAATGTAAAATCATGAAAGATTTAGGTCTAGACCGAATCATATCATAAATTTCTTCGACCATTACACAAATTAACTCTTCAAACTTGTGAAATAAATGCTCCCTTATGCTCGTCATGACTGACTTTATTAAATTAATTCTTCAAATTCATGAAATAAATTCTCTTTAGATTCACTAATTACTTTTACGTAGTCACCTTTTTTAATCAAGTTTAGTATCACAAAATTCAAGAGTACTTGAAAAAAATATAGTTTGATTAAATTTTTTATTTTTTGAATGCTGGACATTAACAGATTTACATATTCATTTTATCGTTGTGACAGGGCTGCAAGGGCAGCGACAATGATTCTTGATCTTACTACAACAGATAATGGTGCATCTCTTACCGTTGAGAATCTAGAGTAATCCATCATTGCATAATTTTCTTTTTATTTATTTAAGTATATTAAATTGCATTTCCCATTGCCAATTAAGTAGGTGATTGATTAATTTGATATGCCTCTTGAACTAAATGTTTGAGTAAATTACTAGACCAATAAGAATGATAAAAGCACATCAACGTGGAGAGTGTTGATTTGTTATGTAAAGATTCCAAAGATCCTTGAACAAGGAAGACACGAACTCATTGATTCGAGAACAAGCTCTCCAGCCCTTAAATCAAGTTCATATACGAGAGAATTAATTAGAGGATTATACATTAGAAATTGTAACACTCACATACATAAATAAAAATCAAGTTCATTAATTCGAGTTTTTCTTATATGAATTTCTTTGCGAACAAATTGGCACGTCCAGTTGGATGTCTCTATCTCTCATCTGTTTCTCTCAACTAAGAAGTTATGGCATTCAAAGAAGTTTCATCAAAGATTGCTACATCAAGTGACTCCTACTTGGGTCAAATTACTCATAAGAGCGCCAAGGAAATGATGGATGCCCTGTTCAATTCTAGTTCGAAGAGTAAATTCGCTCCTTCCTCTATCCATCATGAAGGGACATTGTTCGCTTCCTCATAGCTAAGAGAAAACTAGTGGAAGTATACAATAAATAAACAATTGTAGTACAAAACAAGGTCGTCTCCACTGGAATTGTAGCTGTACTTTGATTTAACAAATCAGAACACCAGAAAGCAAAATAAAAAGAGTTTGACTGTAATATTGTGAGTATAACAAAAATAAATTTGTAAAACAGTAAACGACAGCTGTAGAAATATTCGATACAATGCTGGAGCATCCAATACAAAGAACAAAAAGATTGCGAAGAAGAAACGATTGCAAAGTATATCGATGGGGATTTGCTCATATGCTTTCACCTTTTCTTAACTATACTCTAGCAGATCTGTAGTACTGAATGCCCAAACCGACGCGGTTCTCTCTAGAAATACCCAAACATGCTTAAATCCAACTCGCGTTGTAATGAAAGTAAGCAATAAAAGTAGTTTATAGGCACAATAGGTTAAGTCTCATCCCTGAGTACTCACAATCCTACTTCAAAGAGAGTAATCTATAGCAAATAATAACAATCATGCTTAAAAAGGACTCTCCTGAATCTCAAGTAAGCTAACACACCAATATTGTTGGCCAAACAGACCATAGAGATGGAAGAATAAAAATATTTCTATTAAAACCATATTCAAGGTTATTTAAGCATAGTTAACAAAACGCTACAGCGAGCTCTTGGCCCCGTCCCCCCTGAAGGTGGGGTTTAGTTCATAATGAAAGAAACAGTGGGTGAAAGTGAACTGGGTTTCATCGATGAAGGAGACAGCAGGAAAATGGAGACTTCTTCAGTAGTACGATGGTGATGCCAAGAAAAATCAGCCATGCCTTTAGCTCCTTCTTCGATGAAAGATGATGAAAATATGTGAAATGTTCTCTGAAATCAATGCTCTATTTTCTTATGTGTGTTCTCCCCCTTTTTCGGCTAAGGTATATTTTTCTTTTATATCGGGCTCTTAAAACTGAGGCAGCACTTGGAAGCCCAACGATACGGGATTAATTGATCAAACTCATTAACCATATTAATCAACATTCATTACCTGTCGGTCAGTCCACTAAAGACCCATAGTTGCACTCTTCTCATTGTAGAATATTTTGCATCCACAGATTTTAACCATTAATGGCAAGTCAATCCTTCACGAGTGTTCGTAACCACAGTTGGGTCAAATTACCGTTTCACCCCTGTGTTACATCTTGGACCTTCAGTACTGCTGATCCTTTAATGAACAACCCGGTTATGGACCAACCAATAACCGAAAGTTCCTCTCGGATCAATGAGAGGGTAGGACCCCTTGTTCAAGTCCTGGAGTTAGCACTTAAGAGAACACTCATCAACTTACCTAAAAGTCAGGAAGGAGTGAATTCCATCTTGTGTAGTTATGTTCCTAGCTCCCCACTCGGGTCTTTCTCACCCATACAAATCAAAAGACGCGTCCTAACAGACAGGAGTCCATAACTCACTCAAGATTGAGATCAAGTTACCTGGTCATCCTATTTAAATATTAATCTATTAGCTAACAGTGTTACAGCTAAAGATTAATTATTTCGCAGTCCGGTCTTATACAAACTCGTTGTATAGGATCTCCAACTCGCATGTCTCCACACGAATGACTTGGATCAAGTCATTTGTAACTATTACAAAGTGGGTTGTATCTATAGTGTTAACAGGATAAGGTACCCAACCTTATCCATATACTACAGGCCCTTTTAGGTTATTACTGGAATATTATCCACCTGTATATTGAATATAGACTGTATATATACACTTTATATCAAACATATATACACACTGTATATCAAATATATACGTTGTATATTAAATATATACTGTATATCTATTATATACTGTTCCAATTACACGACATAACCTCAGATGTTAGTTGATTGGATTTGGGTTAATGGAATTCTAAAAGAAACATCAATAACAACTTTATTGAATAAATATTTGTTTTATGTTTACAAAGCACGAGTTTAGGGCATAAAACCTAACAGTCCTCTCCAAACTCTATAATTCGTGTTCAAAACATCAAGAATTAAGCATAATTCATTCAAATTAAGAAAATTGAGAATTATAATAGCTTTGAGCCTTCGCCAGATGAATTCTACTATTTTCCATGATATTTTACATTTTCGCATAAATATAACTTAATTTAGGCCACAAAATACTCTCTTTTAGGGAGTTATAAGACATCTAATCTGAACGTCATATACTCTATCATGATGTCTGATGCATCCACCATTGAAGAAAAAATGGTGGATACAGATTAGAAACTCAACATACTGACGAAGATGGCTGAAGAAAGAGATAATAAGATCGCTTCCCTCATGAACAAAATTGAAATTCAAGATGTTGCTGAATTAAGCCAAAATAAAGGCGTGAAAGTCAGCAACAAATGAAAAAACATCATGCAAAAAGAATAATATAAACATTCTGTTTTCATTGCTTCGCTATCTGTCCAACAACTCCAAGATATGATCACAAGCTCGATCGGAGCTTACTATGATAGACTTTCTCAAAACTCCCTCATGTACTCCAAGCTGTACATTATGAGGATTAACAACTTGAGAAAGCTGATAGCATATCAGTCTCTGAAGTTTCAACAATTTGATAGAAAAAGCAATCCTAAGCAACACATTGCTCATTTTATTGAAATGTGCAAAAACTTTGGCACTTGAGGAGATCTATTGGTCAAACAATTTGTTCGAACATTGAAGGGCAACTCTATTGATTGGTACACATATCTGGAGCCTAAATCCATCAACAATTGGGAACAATTGGAAAGAGAGTTCCTAAATCGCTTCTACAGCACGAGGCGAACTGTTGGCCTGATAGAACTCACTAACACGAAGCAAAAAAAATATGAACCTATTGTTGACTACATCACAAGTAGAGAGCTTTAAGTTTCGACTGCAAAGAATGGTTGACTGAAGTGTCTACTGTCGAGATATGCATCAAAGGCATGCACTGGGACTTCTCTGTATTGTCTGGTTTTAAAACCTCAAAGCTTCTAATAACTAGCAACCCGTGCCCACGAAATGGAGCTAAGAATTGCTTGTAGAGGAAATAGAGGTCATTTGGTCCAAAACCTCAAAACGGAAAGAAAGAAGTAAAAAATCCTCATAAAGTTTCTATGGCTTTCAAAAAAGAATTTATGGTCGTCAGCATGACCCCATTCAAGTTTCTTGTAAAGAGAAGAAGCTTCAACGATAAAAAAGATGAAAGACAAATAGCTGGAAACGAGAAATGATAGACCCTTGTGACTTCATGAAAGAAGTAGAAACAATGTGATA